TTCCTCAAATAGTTGGAGACATTTTACCTCAACCCCTCTCTTGTGTTCAGTGCATTAAATCAGTTGTTTGAGCAACTAAATTTGAGGCTTCTGACCTGCATTAAACCCTTGTTGGCTTTCCATTAATCTCACATCACTCTCCATCTGGCTCAAAACAGGACTTGGAAGGAGTTTTGGGGGCTTTCAACTTCTTCTCTCTTAACTATAAGGAACTATTTCAGCTTTCAACGTTCAGGACTGGAATAATTTTGATTTCTGAAGTAGTTGGTGAGCTCGTGCTCGTACAAGGATTAATTAAAAACCCAGAGAAACCTCTGTGTTGCAGGGAGGGAGGAAGAGCAAAACTACATTTATACAGCCAGGCTGAGTAAGAGGTGACATGGTAAAGGTTATGTAAAATACCAGTGAGCTTGAAAAGAGCAGATTAGGACATTAATTAGTGGGGTTTGTGGTACAGGTGTTTTGAAATTCCGAGGAAAATACCTGACCCGACTGAACACTTCCCTAAAGCTTAATTAATCCTTGTCACCCCTTCTCATTAAGGCTGAGGAGTTACAAGCCTTCAGAAGAGGATGGAGACATTTTTGGGAGCCAACAAAGACTGGGAGTTATTTTAGATCAACCCAAATGACAATATATTAGATCAAACAATGTATTAGATCAAATTTGTTAGGTCAAACCAAATGACAATATACACCCTTAGGGAAACATTTCAATGAGTAAAAAGGCCCAGGGTGGGGTTATTCCTGAATAATCCATCAGGAAACATGGAGTTTTCTTTGAAAGCTTGGGTGAAGGTGGATTTTGGGGCAGATTTTGGGTTACTTGGTTCCTGTGGCAAGAAAAGTCCTGGGATGCTCCGTGATGTCTGCTTATTTATTCAGATTATTGTCCTTAGCACGGGCTGAGGGATGTGGTCAGATCTTTTTAGTGCTGTTAAATTTTACATCTCTCTTGCAAAGTCGGGATTATCATGGAATTTGGGTTGGGAAGGATCTTTAAGATCATCCAGTCCCACCCCTTGCCATGGGCCAGGGACACCTCCCACCAGCCCAGGTTGGTCCAACCTGGCCTTGGACACTTCCAGGGATCCAGGGGCAGCCACAGCTTCTCTGGGCAACCTGTGCCAGGGCCTCCTCACCCTCCCAGGGAAGGATTCCTTCCCAATATCCCATCTAACCCTGGCCTCTGGCAGTGGGAATTTTATCTGCCTCTGCATCTATCCTTGGTCAAAGTGAAGTTGCTCCTTCTTTGCACCCTGAGAGGTGACAAAAATCTCCCTAAGGAAAGATAGGAAAGGACCTGCTGGAAACAGGAGAGCATCAGGATGGAGTGTCATTGTCACAGTGCTGCTCTGATTAAAAACTAGAGACAGAAACACCTGAGAATAAAGCAATTTGTTCTCGCTCCAGCCATTCCACCCCCAGGGCATCATTCCATGCCTCATCCCAGAGCTGCTGGAGCCTCCTCCATGATTCACGGTGTTTTTTGGGGGCTGAAACAGTTCCATGTGCTCCTTCTGCTTAGTTAAATGTGATTTTCATCCTCATTTTGGTCGATAAACAGGATGAAACACAAGCAACTGGCAATGGCTCTGCTTCCCCCGGTAGCAATGGGCACAATAATCCTTCAAAATCACACCCCAGGTGGGAGGATGTTTAAATCTGAGTGGAAATTTTATGGCTTGTCTGCCCAAAAGGCCCTGAGGACATGAAGATGCTGCTGGTTCTTCGCCTGAAGGTGGAAAAACAAAGAGTTATTTGAATAAAATGGCCTAAAAGCAAAAGGGAGGTGACGAATTCTGGCTTGGGGGGGGGGGCAAGGGAATAATAAGTTTCGGGTTGGATAACACTTGAGCTGAGGATGATTCACCCAGTGATCCTTGAAAAAGCTTGGAAAGGCTTCACTGAGCACTAAGTAAAAACTTGGGAAGATGTGGAAAGTTTGCAGGGCCATATGAGCACTGCATTTAATCTGGAAATAATCTGGGCACTGCTCTCTGGCTGCTCTGATTTCAAGGATTTTAAGGCATCTTTTAATGTTAAGGACTTCACCACCTCTATATATATAGATATATGTATATATATATATATATACATAAACAATACTTACATGGCTCTTCTGTAAATATTTTAATTTCAACCTTTACAGTGCCCCCCTTATTTCAGTGCCTTTGCACGTGGTGTAGGAGCAGCTCAGACCTGACCCCAGAGCTGATGACCTTCAGCCACTGGGTCCAGAAGAAGAAAAGAAGCAAAACAGCCAAAACTTTGTCCTTCAGCAGGATGGGACATGATGGCAGGATTGAAAATAAGGAGGATTAAACCCTGGACAGGTTCAGTAACGAACAATCCCTATTTAAATTAGAGGGGATGGATTTTCACAGGCTGCCCCAGAGAAATGAACAGGAAGAAAACTTCTCTTTGGAAGAACTTGGATTTGGAAAAGCGTTTTGAAATTTGTTTATTTGCTTTAATCATTGATTTTGATGTGGAGAGGGGCGCCAGGAATTTACTGGAATGATTGATTGAAATAATTTCCATCAAATTGGCAGCAGAAATTAAGTCTTAACCACGACAAACACTTCAGATCTAAACTTTCATGGTAATATCTCCACCCCCAGCCAGTTTTGACCTGTGAAACCCTGATTCCTTTGCTTGGGCTCTCGCTGCCCTTCCCTGTTTTTCCAGCAGCATTTTGCTTTGTTTTCAGCCCTTGAACCACATCCCTTTCACTTGGAGGTTCAGAGTCAGGTAAATCTGTTTCTTGAACGTGGAATTCAAGTGTCCTGCAGACTTGCAGAGCATCATCCAATACCCTCAGCTGGAGAGCTCCTAAAATTGGATAGAGACAGAGAGCTCCCAGGCCTGGGCATCCCTGTCCACTAAAAACAAACCCCAGCTATGGCATTTCAGCATGAAAAAATGTAAAAGAGGCACTGAACTTTAATTGTGGCATGCCCCCAGTGGAGCTGCTGGGGTTGCAGGGTGACATTTGCTGTTGTTGAGGAAGGAAGCTCCCCTCACAGAGAGATGAGGACACATCTCCTCCCGTGATTTTATTTCTCCTGTTCCTTTGTGGTTGTAGTTCCTGCAGCCAGGGAATAGGATATTCTCAGCAAATCAAGCTTCACAGAAAATCTGGGGTTGGACCAGAAAATCTCTGTGTCACCTCTGTCTGCATCTGCTCTAACTCGGTTCTCCACGGTGGAGATGACTTTGTGTTACACATCCCATTTTTCATCTCAGGGCACTCTGAAATACATAACTTTGAAGTCTTTAATAGCATCAAATCTTAGGAAATTCCTTCTGTTCCTTCAGGAACCCTCTAACACGTTGACAGAGGGTTTTAAGCACAGCAGGAGACGATGCTCACACTTGATTAAAAGGATCTTCCTGACATTTAAACCTCTGCCCTGATTAGCCATTATTAAAGCAGCTGTTTGTCATTAAGGCAGGACAAACGTGAGTGTAAAGGATGAGGAGTGATTGGAATTAATACACAACTGTGTTGTCTGCACTTCACTTTTCCTGAGCTGCCTGGGCCTTGTGATGGGGCTGGTGTGTGCAGTCAGGGGGGGTACATATGGATTTACTGAAAGATATAATATGGAATTAAGGATCATGGAATTACATGCATGATGTCTGTAAAATTATAAATGATGTTCCATGCATTATATGTAAAATATATCTCAGTGCCTATATGTGTATTTTTTTCACAGATTCATAGAACATTTTGAGTGGGAAGGGACCTTAAAGCTCACCTTGATCCAACCCCTTGATCCACACCTTCCACTAGCCCAGGTTGCTCCAAGCCCTGTCTACTGAGCTCATCTAAACATCAACCCCTCTTATTTTATGCAATACAGTTAAACCCCCCATAAAAATAGAGATCCTATTCATATTAGTTGTCCTTTCCACTCAGAAGAGAGCGAAAAACTAAATTTTGACTTAAATCTCCAAATACCAAAGGTCATTATTTCCCTATCAGTTCGATTTTAAATGCTTCTCAAAAAGAAGTTTCTGCCTCGAAAACAAGAAGAGGCTTTAAAGGATGTGATGCTGTCCATCAGTTCTCCTGTGCAATTCTAGAAGGAATAGTTGAATTTGCACTTTGAAGGTTTTCCACCCTGCAAATGCAGTTGGGGAAAAAAAAACCTCATTATGTGGGAGGTTTGGGAACTTAAGGACCAGCAAATCAAAGCAAACGCGTTGCTCGGATTTTATCAGTGAGAATATTCGTAAATATTTTGCTGAAAGTCTGTTTGCTCGTTGCTCTTTCCTGTAATGAAATGGGGAGAAGGGGATGGAATTATTGCAATTACTCTCTGAAAAAAAATAAATTGAATTAATGCAAGTGTAGAGGACCTGAGAGTAGTTCTGTTTAATTAAACTGTTTCTCTAAGGAGAAACTGTTATAAACTGTATATATTCAAGCATTTGTAGTTAATGCAAATATCTCAGATGAAAATCTGGACCATTTCCATGGAAGTCTTGGAATTTAGCAGGGAAAAACTGAAGTTGGGAGAAGAAATGTCTCGAAACCTCTTGGACTGGGAGGTCTTTAATTATTAGGGTATAACAGGGCCTGTTTCTGGAAATGTCCCTGTTCTGGAAGTTTCTTTGAAGTCAAGGAAGAATTTGTGATGTCCTTTGGGAGCAGGATGAATCCTTAACAGATTTTGCTGGATAATGCCCTAAAAACCTCCCGAAATCCCGCGGTGTCCCGGGTTATGATGAACATCCCCCCGTCCCTCGCTCACCTTCAGCCTTCCCTGATTTCTTCTCATCCCACAGTTGCTTCCAGACCACTTTTCCACCCCCTCCTTGACCCCGAGGCTGTTCCCCACCCTCCCTGGGTGCTGCCTGCAGTTTGAGCTGTGTGTCCCAGGCTGGAGCGTGTCCCGTGTCCGTGTTCCCTCCTCGGTTCCCAGCGGGATTTGCCGGCTCCGACACCTCCTTTGCTAATCACCTTTTCCCCTTGTTTGTTTTGTCTTCCAGCTCTCGTAAATGTGAAACTTTGGGCTATTGATCGGCAATGTTTTCAAACAATAATGATGAGGACTGGCCTCATCAAGCATACTGAGTATATGGAATTTTTAAAAAGGTATGACACTCGTTTATTTATCCCCAAATCCAGTGCAACTCCCGTCCCCATCTTTTGCCTTTTTGTTTTTTCCTGAGTGCAGTGTTTGATATGTTTCCTTCTCATGTCTTCAATATTATTATTATTATTATTATTATTATTATTATTATTATTATTATTATTATTATTATTATTTCAATTTGCTTAAAGCAGGGAGAGCCTTGCTGTGGTTTAGTTTCATTCCTCTTGTGAGTTATTTGTTGGCAAAGAGTCCCACGGCCAAGGTGTGAGAGAAAAGCTCTAACATGAGTCATTCCAAACATTCCCTGTGTAAGAAAACAACACCCATTTTAATAACCCACCCCCTTTTCTCTGGGAAAAATCTGGTTTTTAAACTGTGGTGGAATTTGAAACCCATTTCAAGTGTGTTCTTCCAGAAGTCAAATGTGAGTTTCTAAGGGAAAAAAAAAAGCTTGAGATTCTTGGAAAATCCAGGTTGGATGAGTAAAAAGGAAAACACGAAGCCAAGTCTTTCACTCCTTAACACTCTCAGACGTTCCTTTGGTTTGTGCTGCTGGAACAAACCCGTCTGTAATATCTCAGGAATCCCCTTCCCTGGGGATTTACCTTCAGCCACTGGGTTTACAAGAAGAAAAGCCAAATAGCCAGAAATTGGTCCTTCAGCAGGCTGGGAGATGATGGTAGGATTGAAAATTAAGGGAATTAAGCCTTGGAGGGGATCAGTAATGAACAGTTCCTCTTATTTAGAGAGCTGGGGGGTTCACCTGGAGGAAAGAAAGCTCCAGGGAGACCTGAGAGCCCCTTGCAGGGCCTAAAGGGGCTCCAGGAGAGTGGAGAGGGACTGGGGACAAGGGATGGAGGGACAGGACACAGGGAATGGCTTCCCACTGCCAGAGGGCAGGGATAGATGGGATATTGGGAAGGAATTCCTGGTTGTGAGGGTGGTGAGGCCCTGGCCCAGGTTGCCCAGAGATGCTGTGGCTGCCCCTGGATCCCTGGAAGTGTCCAAGGCCAGGTTGGACGGAGCTTGGAGCAACCTGGGCTAGTGGGAGTGTCCCTGCCCATGGCAGGGGGTGGGATGGGATGAGCTTTAAGGTCCCTTCCAACCCCAACCTGTGTGTGATTCCATGAAATCAGGTGCCACAGCGGGGAGGGGACAGGCCACGTTTCAGCAGCAAAATGATCCCAAACCCAAGGATGGTGTCACCAAATTGTGGAGCAGGGAAAGGCCCAGGTCTCTGTGATGCTTTCAGCCATCCCAGCACTCCTGAGATGTTCCTACCCCAGGCTGGTCCCACATCAGAACATCCCCCCTGCAGCACTTCCCCCCCCAGCCCCCTCACCCAGTGCTGGGAGAGCTGGAATTACACCCACGGGTGATTTATAGGGATGCAGGTGGGGATGGGTTCAAAATCCCTCCCCTCTGGGCTCCCTGTCACCTCGCCCAGGGGAAGCTCAGTTTGGAGGCAGCTCATTTTCGATGTGTGTTGGTGATTATTGCTGCTTTTCCAGGAGTAGCTCCTGTCTTCCAGAGAGGTTTTCAGGGAAAAATGCCATGGGAAGACCTGGAAGATCTTCCAGTTTGCAAGTCTTTGACCCAAGTATGATGCACCCTCTTAAAAAGGGGGTTCGGGATGGAAAAATAATCCCCTCCAGCCACATCAAAGCAGGGGGAACAGATGCCCCTAAAGTGGTCAGACTAATTTTGACCCTCCCATGCCACGTGCTTGGTCTGCTTTTGTTTCTGACCTGCTTTTCAAACATAGGACTTCTAAAATCAGAAAAAAACATGCACAGTACATTCACTTGGACATCCAGTGAAATAAACTCGAGGAATAGCTTGTATTTATTCACCTTTAAATTAGTTTTTCTCCCGGAGGAAATCGGGACATAGGGAAAAATAAAATAATAATATAAAGTATATAAAGAGTATCAATAATATAAATATTATGTAAATGTGTATTTTATGTACTATATCTATTAAGTAATAGTTGTTTATGTAAAATAATAAAAATATTTCTGCCCTGGAGAGGCCTGGGAGCTCCACAGGGATGTTCTGCAGCTCAGGGGTGACATCAAAGGAACTGTCAAAGCCTTTTCCAGGTGTCTCAGCTGATGGTTAGCAACAGGCAGGCTCAGGGGAGAAAACAAAACCTGTTGCTGCACCAAAAGGGCTTAAAAAACCCTCCCCTCAGCCATTGCCAAGCCTTGGCCTTCCCGGTGGGCCGGGGGAGGAAAGCGAAGCCGAGCGTGGGCTCCGCTCTGGGCTGAGCACAAACCCTTTAAACACACGTTAAGCCTTTAAGCTTTTAGCTTTAATAGAGATTTTCTAGAAGATTGTGGAGATTAATTTGGATTCAGGTTCAGCAAAGCCTGCCCAGCTTTCACTTCAGAGCAAACAGCGAGGAGGGAACCATGGGACGTTTCCTCACGGGTGCCTGAGCTGCTGCCTGCACGTGGAGTCCCCTCTGGGTGCTCCTTAGGGGGGTTTTGTGAAAGCAAATAGGTATTTCTATTTTAAATCTCACAGTTGGAGTTTAGGAGAAGGGTTTCTCCCGGTTGGAGCCGGGGAAGGTCCTGACAAAATGGTTCTTCCCACTGGGTTTTCCACGTGGGCTCTGGGAACTTGTACCTGTCTCAAGCTCAGCCTAATTCCCATTTGGTGCATTAAATGCTCATTTTTAAAGGTGTTTTCCTTCTAAATGTTTTTCAGGAAAAATAGGATAAATCCTGAAAACAAGAAGCATGTCAGTTGTTGACTTTATTTGATTTTTTGGTGGGGATTGGAGGTTTTTTCTTTCCTGTATTAAGACTTGAATGACAATGCTCTTTTGAAGGAATAAATGCAATAGAAACAAAGGTTTAAATGGTGCCTGTCCACAGAAAAGTCAGGGGGGTTGGGCAGCATCATTTCCTGCTGATATTGGTCTAAAAATTACCCTTTTTAATCATGTCATGAGTCACAACAACATAATGATTGTTGTCTCCTGTAATGTACATGGACAAAGCACAACAGAAAATGAGCTTCTGGGGGTGACACAGGGAGATTCAGTTATTTGTTCTCATTTATCCTGCTGAGAACAAGAGCAGCAGGAACATCCCCCTGACACAGTGTCACCCTTTATGTCCAATATTTTCCCTTGAGTGCCATAAGAAAACCATAAACCCATAAAAAGTGCATTTCCCGCTTCAGAAATCCAGGTGGACATTCCTAAGGGGTCCTGGGCAGGGAAGGCTGACTCCTGGTTTGCTCCAAGGTGTAGTGGTTCCCTACTGAAACTTGGGATAACTCTTCTGAGTTACCTCAGACAACTCTCCTGGAGTCAGGAGCAAGGGAATATCCTCTTTTTCCTGGTTTGTGTAAGGAACCAGTGTGAGGATCCCTCCCTTGATCCTCGATGTGATCAAAAGCCAGCCTAATCCCCAGCAGCACCTCCTTCAAGCAGGAGCTGGAAAACCAGGCTGTTGTTTGGTTTTTTTTGATCCCTGTGTCTGTGCTGCAAGAAAAATCACAGCAACGATTCCCTTTGAAACACAAATTTTTGGGAGCCCATTATGTGGCTAAAGCAGTGTCAGCCCGAGGTGGTTCGTAGTGCAGCCAACAGTGAAAAGGGAAATTAAATATTGTGCTGTAGGTTGAGCAACTCCTTGTGCTACAGGGCTGGTTTTGCTGAATTTATCTTTAGCTCTTTCCCAATTAGTGCTTTTTGTCTGTAATTCAATATGTTTGTCCTTACACAAGCGAGGGAGAGCATCACTGTCACTGCTAAAATCAACTGTGCATCTCACTGCACTCTTCATGGTTACAGCATTGGAATGATTCCCTTCTCAAGCCAGCCCTAAAAATAACTCCATTTAAGCAAAATCAGAATATTTCAGTCAAGGAAAATAGCAGTTAATCAAATAAATTTGTCCAAGAAATAAAAGGCTTGTGCTCTGGCAACAATTTCCTGCTAAATCATGGAAGTTTAAAGACCAGGATGCCTTGAAGGAGTGAATATTGCTTTTTCTTTTTTTTTAAAAAAAAGCTTCCTAAAGTTCAATTAAAAGAGGCTGCAGGTTCCAGTCCATGGTGTGATTCATCCAAGACCCTGGAGCTGATCAGGAGAACAGATGGTGGATACTTGGAGTCACCTCGGAGGCAGGATTGAGCTTTGGAAGTGGATATTGGAAGGAAGTTCCCACATAGACACAATCTTACCTTCAAGGATCTTGTTAGTCCGAGCTTTAACTTCATGTCAAAGCCCTGGTTCTGGATGAAGAAGGAAAAGGAGGGGAGAATTTGGAAAAAGAGAGTTAAAGGTTGATGGTGACTTAGGGAAGTTACACTGAGAGAGTTTCAGGGGACTAAATCTGCAACGTGGGGTTTGGCTCCACGAATCCAACTTTTGTGGGACACTGGGATGTGGGCAAAGTGAACAGGGGGGACAACAGAAAAAGAGGGAAAGGGCCATTATTTCTGTAAGGCAAATAATTCCATCTGTTCTTAATGCCCAGTGAAATCCAAGGACACAGGCACTGGTTCACACCAGGAGCCCATCCAGACCAAGCTCCTTTTGCTCCTTTCCATCCCAAGAGGTTGCTTGGACCATCCCCACTGGAATGGAGGTGCTGTCAAAGGCTTTGAAGGCCAAGGGCATCGTCTTGAAAGATGTTCCCAAAAAGGGGTGGTCATCACCCACCTTTGGGGTGTCCAGATTTTCCAAGGCAGTCATAGGATCAAAGAACCACGGACTGGTTTGGCTTGGAAGGGACCTTAAGGGTGGAGAGAAGGAGAAGACCATTGGATTTCTGTGGGGAGGATTCAGGGGTGGCTTTATGTGAGAAGCTGTATGAGGGAGCAGGTGGTGGTGATTCCCAAGGTGCCCACAGGAGCTGCTGGGAGGTCCTTGCACTTCCTGGGCTCATCCATGAAGTGTGGAGACCCTGCCATCCAGGTTTTGTGCTATTGCAGTCACCCTGCATGGAAAAACCCCCATGTTCCAGCTTTGGAGACGGCA